GTGAATACTAAAGGACCAACTATACCCAATTAATGAACCTATACTGGTCTGAAAATAGCCTGTGATACTAAAGGCCAAACTATCCCAATTAATGACCTATACTGGTCTGAAAATAGCTTGTGATATTAAAGGCCAAACTATCCCAATTAATCCTTTAATCTAGAAATTTAAGTAGATATATGCAAGGTGATAGCTAAAATTTAAACTTCCCATCTAAGTTTTTGATAATTAATAACCTAAGCATCGAACCAAATGCAATAAATAGTTGATATGATCAAATTCATTTTGTGAAAGAAACTGTATTAATATATTGGACGATCTAAGCCTTTCATAATGCTCGAAATAACAATTTTAAATTTCAAAATAAACATGAACAAAGGAAAGATCACTTCCGTCCCATTGCCATCGAATGCTTCCCATTTGAACAACTTTCACTCATTGCTCCGTTTCGGATTGCTTCTGCAGAAGATGATGATGATGATGATGATTGATGATGATGATGATGATGATCATGATGATGATGCTATCGTAAATTGTTTTTTTGTATAGCTGTCAATCTGTAACCTCTAATTATGGATTGTTCCAGTGGTGAAGAACTTGATGTACTGGGTGTATCGTTTAACAAATCGAATGCCATTTCAGCCGTATCATTCACGTTTCCATTTGCTTCCCTTAGCAAAAGTCGAACTTGCTCGATTGTTAAGCATGGAAACATATCCTAAGAGTATTAATTGATGACCTCATTTACTTTATATTGTTACTACACTAAAATAATCATTCACTTAAACACTTATCCAGGTTTCTGAAAGATCAATAAAAAGGATTCCCTCTTGGATATTTAGGATTCAAACAGTTTCCCGATACGACATGTTCATTAATGAGATAAGATTCTGCAAGGTATAATGAAACAACTGATAACTTCTACAATTATATCAGGTCTAATAGCAATACTAACCTATTCTGTAACTGATCTCTAATCAAGTTAAATGATGAAATTCGATCAAATATCTTATCTAACAAACAATTACATTTGATAATATTAATAAATATGGCGTAATTAATCTTTAATTACAACATCAAAATGAAACGCTAAAACAATAATCACGTTTTATTAATATACAGTAAACGTGCCTTCATTGATTATCAATTGGAACTTACACGTATCTGAGAAATTTTCCACTCTATGGAAAACATTTCCGAGCTAATATCTGCAGTTTAACACCACAACAACCAATCCAAATGATCATAAATGACCCATTTCATTCGATGCAAACCTGAAATATGCTAATTCTTAAAAGTATCCATTCACTACAGATATTCAAATTTGATTGCCGAATACTGAAAATTGATTATTTCGATTAATAAAATTTGATTGTAAATTGCTGAAATTTGATGATCACTTCTATCCCATATCACTTAATGCACAATAAAGTTTGAAGTATTGTCCCATTCCTTAACGAAACAAGCTATCATATCATCTATAAACAATGATATGATAAGTTTGTAAGTGACCCCTTCTTAGTTTCTTCGTTCTTTGATTCTGTTGGAGAGAAACACAAAGTATTAATAATTAACTAATAGTATTTAATTACCCAAACAGCCCTGCTTTATGTACTGTTTTTTGAGGAATGGACAACAACGGTGAAAGACTGACTGAACCATCCCTGTATTCATAAAACGAGGAAAGCAACCCTGGCATAGGTTGAAACTTCTTCAGGAATTTCATCAGTTGAAAAATCCGACAGCAGTTTGTTTGATGATTCATGATATCTTCTTTATCCTTTCCCTTTTTAAACAGCAACAGTTACAGTGAAAAATTCCCCAAACAAATTCTTAATTTTAAGCTCAATCACCGGGATATAGAGAGAATCGAAACCTTAACTGAGCAGGGATACTCAAATGGTTAAATCCGAATTCTGAATTGAAACTGAGATCGATGACTAGGATGAAAAAAAATTATTCAAGCAATTTTAACAAGTAACCTTCTCCCTCATAAATTTGAATTTCAAAAATTAGAGGAATATAAAGCAAGAAGAAAGGATTTTTTCTGAACTCAAGCCAGATTTGTATTTTTGTGCTTTATATACAGAAATTCGAGTGTAAAAAACATACAATTTTTCAATGATAATTTTTTTTTGAAAAAAATGGCAGAAAAGAGATGAAGAGCAAATGAATAAAGGTCAATACAAGGCGTAAAAAATCATCTACACAGCAATGAACAACTATAACGAAAACTGAACAAGTATATTAAAATATACCAGTAATCCAGGTATTTTCCCCCCACCCCCCTCCAAAACAACTTTCAGGATTTTCAGCTATTAGGATAATTAAATCTACAAAACGATTGATGAATATAAGCATGCAATAATAATGTGATTTTTTTTTTAAAGCAAAGACAATTACAATGAATATAAACACCTGGGAAATTTTTAGAAGTTCTCAGAAGAGGCTATTTTTAGAAAACATACAATTGTTTTTTTTTTTTTTGACAGAACAATTTAAAAGAATAAAAGAACAAGTCAAGTGGGGAGTCTGTAAAGCATAATTTAAAACGGAAAATTATGTGGTGGCCCTATCATAATAAAATCTTATCGGACCAACTTCAAAGTAAGAAATATATTGAATAAAGTGCAGTTTGCTTAACAATTATGTACAATATTGATGTTTAAAGAAAAACTATTTGGATTTCGAAAAAATTCAAAACCAAATTAAAATTCCTGCAGTAATAAAATGGAGTTATGGTATTTTACATTTAACATTCTTGTCCAAAGGATGACTCTAAATCAACACTTTTAAAAATCGTCACAATGACTTCAAGCTTTCTGGAAGGATTTCCCTGGATTTTGATCTATGATAATGCACAACAGAAACTCATTGTCGACTCTGGACGATTCTTTGATACCAACCAGCAACATCCACCCTCGCAGTTTCATAAAGTACTACCCATTCATGCTGCTGCAACAAAACTCATAAAATTAGGAAGTGATTAAAAACTGCATTTTTTCCAATTTAAAAATTTGGTTTAGTGGAATGTAACAACTGACAAAATAAGTTAATAGCTGATATTCTCAAAAAGGTCAGATTTTAGTTTGAGTTTTTCAGTTTGAGCAATAATAATGCACTGTAATGGTATCTCATTGATGTCTTGAAAACATATAGTATACCGTCTGTCTCAACAAGTTTGCCTACACCGCATACTTACTTGAACCTAAATTACTCTAACAATTTCACCATTCTTAGAAATTAGAATTTAATGAAAACAGCATTCTCTTATTACTGCCATCTTGACTAGTTTGAGAAACATGGATTTTGAGGAAACATACCAAAAGCTCCTTATACTTTGGTCGAAAGTGATAATTCTTCGTAAGGCAGAGACGAAGAAAATCACAGAATAATGGAGAAAACCCTTCTTCGGGCTGCAGCACCGGTGCTGGATCAGAAACAATTCGTGAAAGTACTTCAAATTCACTATTACAACCATGATAGGGATATTCACCTTTGGCAAGTTCGACCAATGAAATTCCAATACTCCAAACATCAGCTCGAACATCATATTCGTCTTGTGCTTCGAGGCGTTCGGGCTATGATTAGAAAGAAATATAAGATTGTAAGAAAAAATTCACTACAGTAACTGTAACCGATGAACTAAAAGATGAGCGGTTTAATATCATACCCCTGGAATGCCTGGAATGCCACGAAAGGTAGAAATAAACCTTAGTCTAATCAAATTTGCCCACCACTTTACCACTACTCTGATAAGCTTTTGAGCATAGAAGTTTTCAATAACCTTACCGACATATAAGCAGAACAACCAGCGGTACGTGTTCGAGCCATTGAATCAACTAAACGTCCAGCAATTCCAAAATCACATAATTTAACTGTCCCATTCAAATCGAGCAAAATATTCGATGGTTTTACATCACGATGAATAATATTCTACAAGCAAATTTTAAAATTACAATAGCATTTCTTGAGAGAAAGTGAACGGTTTATTCGTTCGACAGTCACTCATTTTCATTTAGCTACGACTAGGGAACAACGTAAAGTACCAACCAAACAAAGAATAAAATGAAGCGATTTAATGAACAGCACTGTTTGCTTTATAAAAAAAGTTCACTGCATTTTGTACTGCACCATCAACAAAAGCATACATATCTCCCTCAAGAGATGTGTGTGCTAAAAATCACGAAACATCTTATTTCGACAGCATTAGACTACTTGACTTCATCTTATTCATTATGACAGGTCCTCAGAGAGCGGCTTATTTCATTACAACAATACGGGATTCCTATTCTGCACATCCTTTTTGAATTAACAGTATTCAGAAAAAAACGTATACAAAAATAATGCGTTATGATTATCACCTGAGTAACTTTTAAATAATCTAAAGCCTTTATGATTGAAACAGCCATTTTGCCAAGAATATCTTCCGGAAAACCACCCTGCACACGTTTGGAAAGTTTGTCCAGACATGTTGCCATTAATTCCATGCAAATAAGTACTTCAAACTGAAACACTCAAATTTCATATCCACAGATAGCTTTAAATAGATATCTTACTCTTTCACACATCAGAAACTTAAGACATTGAATTCTGAGAACAGTAACAAGATGTCCAGTTGAAGTGCTGTGAGATAACATCAAATGCGCAAACTACTACTATATTCAACGTACACGTCCAAGCTAACAGCTATTGTGATCTGACAAGAAAAAAAAAAACTTCTAAAAACTTCTAAGATGAAGTCTTAAAGGAAGATTTCTTTCAGCTAATAATTGTACAGGATATGAAAAAAAAATAAAACTCACGTCAGTAATAAAGCATCCATAACAACGTACAATATGCGGACAATCGTGTGAGCGAAGTACCACTTCTAGATCCATCAGGACACGTTTGTTCTCTTCCGCTACCGATGTCATGACCATTTGCTTAAGAGGTTAGAAAGTTAAGAACTTCAGATGTATAACGAGGTAAAGTTATATAAAGTGACAAATTAAGTAAAGTTTAAAATTGACAGTCTTTTTTTCCCGAGCCACTTAGAAGAAATGTTGTAACGATTTTTTAAAGAATTTTGTTGAGACATTTTTGCGAAACTAATGAAACCCGAATTAATACAACCTTAACGGCCATAATCGTTCCGGTTTGTTCGAATCGGGCTTTGTATACAACACCACAAGTACCGGAACCCAGCTCTCCTATTCTTTTCAAACTTTCCTTTGTTGTTTCATACACAGTTTTCATGATAGTGATTCGGCCCGACAACCTTTTGATTTCTGCTAAACGTTTAGTTAACTGAAAACACAAGGGAAATTAAAAAGACTATATGAAAGTGAAAGTGAATGTTAGGAACACTTAAAAAAAATGCTTATGCAATCTCATTCTATGCACAACTTTAATTTTTCAAAGTATCTCAATTTATTCCACCTATTCTGGTTTTGGTTTTAACTTTGCATCGGGTCGGTTTCTGGAATCAAAATCAAAAACAGTCCCCTGTTTTTTTCTTTTTTTTAAAGAAGTCGAGGATCAAACGACATACCGCATCATCAGCAGTACTGACGGGTGAAGACTGAGAAATTGTTGTTGGTAGCTCTGGAAGATTTCGACGAGGTGCTCCATCAGCTATAAGAAAATCAATTAAACATTTGAAATCTAGAATTCGTTTACATGGTTCGTAAACGAATTATTTTTATACAGCATATTCATTGCTAATTGCTGTATTACTTTGGATACAGAACAGTGATGACTGCTGAACTAAATTACTCTGTTATTTTTACACAATGTATACGGTTGAAGGATTATGATATTTACGATACGGCAACAAATAAATAATGGAACAACAACAATACTTAGTTCAAATCTTATATAACCTTACACTAATAGTTACCATCCACTTCAGTCACTTCTTTTTCCATTTGTTTTTCCTCTTTTAATATGAATATAAATTTAAAGCTATTATCTTTTGTTTGGACATAACAAAAAAGAATGATAATATTCCTCTTCCCATCTTCGTACATATTACAAATATTACGACTAAGTTTCTTTCATATTAAATAAAATTGTTACCCATAATTCGTCGTGGAAGTGGACTGGTTTGCGGTGGTGATGAATAGTTTGGATTCGGGAAAAGCCGTGAAACTTGTCCTACTTGTGGTTCAACGCTGGATGATCTACGCGAGGCAAAGACATGTCTCGTTAGAGGAGCAAATCTCACCTGTTTCCATCGCCGTATTCGGCATTCAAATTCTGCAAAATGATTAATATTACCATTATACTCAAGTATGACAGTAATTTTTGAGGGAGGAAGAGATTCCGTTGGGATGGTACACAGATGGTGTGACAATTTTATGTGATTACTTTGGTAGGTGATTTTAAAATAGGTCGAAAAGATGATAAATTTCAAGCAACAATAGTTGTGAGATGCTTGTATCAAAGATCAAAGGTTCTCGAAATATTCCAAAACATTTGAATCAGCAACTGAAAGCGAAAAAAGAAAGGATGAAAATGAAATCTCGGGAGAGATTGAAAAAATTCTCGAAACAGTATGTTTCGTCACGAGTAAAGAGAGAAGGAGAGAGAAAAACATAATGGAAGACAGAAGAGATGATAAGAATTTAGAAATAGCATCGTAATCCAGTGGGGTAGTTGATAAGAGAAAAAAGGAGTGAAACAATGGAAAAAGGTGAACTTAGCAACTTCTCCGAGTCAAAGGAGGGAGGTTGGTGCTCAAATTGCGAAGCAGAAGTGGGATCAGTTGTCAGGTGTATTACACCTGTTTACCGCGGGATGTAGAAGTAGTGTGTTGGTGGGGGAAGGAAGTACCGTATCCAGTCCAGTTTATTTAATGTGCAACCTTTGAGAGCATTGCTGTCGCAACAGGTGACGTGCTCTGTATCTCTTTGGGCGCTAAAATTTTCGATAATCAAGTTATGGCCTTGAAAGTCTACGGTATTTAGCTAAGTTTATTTAATGAGCATTCATACTTCTCAAGAAATACGAAGTTACTATTGCAGGTAACGATGGTAGAAACATTATACATATCGGAAAACTAAATTATAAAAAAGACTTCCCGGAAAGTGCAGCTGTAACCGAGATATCCTGGAGTCGCGAAAGAAAACTAACAAATTCCGTTAAGTTCATAATGCTGCAAATTGTGGACGTCTATTACCTCCTCATTTTACTAAATCGTTTGCGACATTTACAACTTGTCTGTTTATTTTCTTGTCAACCAAGTAAAGAAGTTTAGAGAGAAGGAATTTTTACCCGTAATATTAGAAGAAAATATTTCCCACTAGGTTGATCGGTTTTTCGGAATCATACATTTAAAATGATTAATCTATCCGTTGATGAAAAGTTAACCTCGTATCCGTTGATGTAGCGACATTGTTGGCTCCATGGAAGGCAAGAATCAGATGAATGATGATGAAGCTTTTCGATAGCTTCCTTTACTTCTTCGTTTCCTTTCGGATAATTTGATGACAAAAATTTGGGGAACCGAATTGTTTTAGGTTTACACTTCGTAAATAATAGTAATATGTCGCTATTTCTTCTTCCGTTTCTGCGTTTGTTTATTTTCGCCATTTATCGAAAAAAAAAAAAAAAAATGGATGAGGTTGAAATTGTGCGCCTTTTTCTCCAATTTGGTCGTATTTTTCCTTGTCTTTTTTATCTTTTCATTTGATGGTAGGAAAAAAAAAAGAATGATTTTAAATGAGCAAACAATTGGTAGAATAGTTCAATTGATGAGTATGAAGAGGAAAATGAGTCGGAGGAATTGGATGAGGATGGAATACGATGCGAAGAGTATTATCGTCGTAGTCGTCATCGCTTTTCGGTCCACCTCGTGCCATCCGTTTCGGGATAGTAAATCAGCAATTGGACATGGATCTTGAACTACTACTGCTTGGCTGCTGCTATTGGAATTGTTGGAAGGGTTGCTTAATCGCTTATCAAATCTATGACAGCTATGGAAATACGGCTAATAGACCGCGATGGATGAAAAGAGAAGGAAAAACATTTTTCTCCCAATACCAGCTAATGCTTTAGCTGCGCTCATCACTATCGACCCATACATGGCCTTTGCCTATGCATACACACATATACACATACACATACACACATTCATTTTACTTTGGCCATAGACAGATAGAAAGGGTAATAATAGTAAGTAGTATAACTTTTATTGATGGTCCACTATTCTATGGTCATCTTATTTATTATCGTCATTTACTAAGACGTAATAAGACATGAAAAGAAAAAAAGTGGACTTTAGTTAAAGGATGTATAAACATTTTAATAATTAAAAGTTCATAAACTAACCGGTTAATTGGCATTTTGTAAATGGATATTTTCCGGATTTTGAAGTACAATAATTAATTTTTCGTCTATTTTAAAACATAAAAATTATTTTGAAAATATGAAAAAGGATATATTTTGGTTTGTTAATAATGCATGCAGTATTATTGTTGAGAGATTGTCTTGTGAAATATAATTGAAATTGAAAGGATTTACGTCATCGATCGGTACATAAATTTGGTTTATACAAGCGCTTCTCATTCAGTTTCTTATTGGCAAAATAATTGTGAGAAGGATAAAATTTATTTATTTCAAATAATTTCCTCCCATTTTTTTTTTCCTTCTCCGATTGAGCTGCACACCTGAAAGACAAACTACGGTCTAATTCAAATGCGTTGTCTTTTTCTTCATCAACTTTAATGAATATAAAAGGGTAATTGAAGATTAGTTGTGATATCTAACGAATCATTGATATAACTTTATTGTAAATAAACCGGAAAAGTATTTTTGCATGTTCAGAAATGAATTTCACTGACTGAAGATTATCATTACTTAATTATCATTAGTACTGTCAGGTTAATTGTGATATTATTAGCAATGATGCTGGTGTTTAATTCATTAGAAAAAAATTAATGACAATAAAACTGTTAATGCTATAATGAACCATATATGTTTTTCCGTTATCCAGTTATCACGAATTTGGAATGATATTATGTATGGTGAAGAAATTAAACAATTGCAATACTGTTATCAACTCAATCCGATTTATGCCGGAATCTATGTATATGAAAATGAATAACTTCTCTTTTGCTAATCTTAACTTCACTTCATTCTTTACTTTCTTATCAATTATCACTTTTTGAAGTAGCATCAATATCAAAAATACAATTCTACTTCAATGAAGATGCATAGGAATCGAAAAGTATTCCTATCATGCATCATTATTTCTCGCACTACTCTGTTTGAATTAGTTTAAATTTTTGAAACTTTTATTTGACCTGAAATAGTTAAACTTAGCTCCATTGTTACATTTTCATATGTTAAAGGATATATTTAGATTTCCGATAAATTGTTCGCTTCTGTGTAAATTGAATGTAAAAGCAGTTTGTACATTTTATTATAATTTATAATAGTGAAAGTGGAGATTTAGTATTCCATAATATTGCATAGTTACAGTTTAACATGAAATTCTCTAAAATGAATTTTACGAGTTGAAATTTACTAATATTATCCAATGCAAATGGATCATTAAAATTCTGACATTTCATATGCAAATTATCTATA